GATGATCATATTGATAGGTATAATCCTGCCAAACGCGGCTAGTGTTCACGAACTCAGTATTGAATACGTCGACACGCTCAAAGCGAGAGCCTTGATAAGGACGAGTTCTAGATTAGAATACGATATCAGGATTAGTCGAGCAACACAACCAATATCTATAGAGTGTGGGTGTTTCACCACTTTTGATAAGCAGTCAATCTTAATATGGTATTTGGCAGTGTTGGAGCAAACGGTTAATGTCCTTCTAGGGTTTTAATTAGCTAGAGGATGGATCTGGTCTTAATACTCATGATGGATATTTCCCGCGAAATTGAATTTTCCTTGCCTTCCATTAAGTAGTTACACATTTCTTTGCAGGAATTATTTTTAAATCTTCCTACAACCTTCCTAGACTAAGGAGGAAAGCTTCTATACTTCTCAGTCACAGATTTCGATGTCCTTTTGACATGTGGTGGTAGTGGTAGTCCTCCATACGTTTACTAAAAGCCTAAAGTGGTTTGACCCCTTGGTCACATTTACGCCCGCCACACCTACAAAAAGGCGCCACAAGCTCGATAATCACCATCTTTAAACGCTCACCAAAAATTCAAATTTGCTCGGAATTTGAAACTTTTGGACCATTATACACTGCGACCGGTAAAACAAGGACACCTAACATTTCTTCCAATTTCTTAAAGGCCCTTCGGAATGTATAGCTGTTACTTTCGCCATTAAGTACTACAGTTCCTAGTAGTCTTGTCGCAAAATTTCGTTAAAATGGCGCAGAGGCGTTCAAATTACTTCAAATAATTTAAGAATATGTCAAAATCAGGTGGCCAATAAAACAAGGACACCCCAAATTAAATTGATTGTTTTCGGCGAAAGTAATTAAAATATGACGAATTCTGGTAGGAAATTAAAATTTCAGTACATTTGGGATATTTTGGTCAATTTATGACATAAACTTACTCTTTTCTTCGGTAGATTTCACATAATGAGGGGTAAATTCCCGAAGTTGTGGCTGAGTGGCAGAGTAGAAGCTCAATGTGCATTACGGCGGAGTATTTCCCAAACGTACAATCACCTAAGTGTCCGCCGACCTTTCGTAACAAGGATGAAGGCCAAGGGGAGCACTTTCGGTAGAACAATTAACAGAGGACGCAAGCCTTAGACGACACAAATATAAAAATTCACCACTCGCCGTCGCTCTAGGAACAACTGTGTTACAATTAGCCAGCTTTGAGCGGAGTTTTATCTTCCTAGTTCAACATCTGAAACTATTCAAGTCATGTCTACTTGCTCCAACCTCGGCAAGAGGAAAATTAAGATCAAACCGGTACATCCCCAGAAGCAAAAAGATGGCAGATTCCAACGGGCGAAACAACGAATAACGTGGACTTCTAAGGGGGATTACACCGTATTTAACGACGAGAAAAGAGTTACCTGCGATGGACCTGATAGCTACAACTATGATTTTCATGACCTTCGCAAGGAAAACCTTAATTTTTGCCATAAATAGAACGGTGGAAATTGTGTCATGATTTAGGTTTTCGTCGGTAACGGAATGAGGTCCGAAATCGTACTTGTGCGTACAAATTTTAACGTACACGGTCATAAAAACATCTCAAGAGTAATTGATTTTGTCCGAAGCACAACTTCGCAAGAAAAAATGGCTGTTTCAACCAGAAAATACACCATATTATGCATTTTGGTAATCAAAGAAATGGTTCTAAGATAATGGTATCGACTTTCTGCCTTAGCCATTGAGGAGTTCGGGTCTAAATTAGATTAAAAATATTCAGGGATACTTATAGCGTCAAGTCGATGCTAATAGGCGACCATGTTCAACAGTTTTCCAAGTAAAAGATATATAGATTGATGCATGTGATTCAATGCCAACCAGTGTCATTAATCAGCACATGGGGTCGATGAAAAATTAAAATGTATCGACCATCAATAAAGGGGATAGCTATTCTGAGTATTGATCTGAAAGATAATTGACAAAGCTCAAAATAAATGGTTCAAAAAGCAATAATTCCAAAGGTGTCCTTGTTTTACTGGCCACCTGATTTTAACATGTTATTGGATAATTTCTCCGCCCCTGCGCTAATTTGAACGAAAATTTGCAACAAGACTACTACGCACTGTAGTACTTCATGGTGAAAAAATCAGCTAAATATCTTGAAGGGCCTTTGAGAAGTTAGACAAATTGTTAGGTGTCCTTGTTTTACCGGTCGGAGTGTACTCCCACCTTGGTGGCTTTTTGCCATTTTTCTAATTGGTGGGAAATCAGACGCAAACTAAATGAGCCATTTACAACTTCCACACCCACTGAAAGGCACCAAAACCCCAGCTGCCGTAAAAAAGTGTAAATTTCCTCCAAATCTGAGCAAAACTCGATTTTGGGTGATGATTTTAATGGGGGGATATTGGGGTCATTGAGGGAGGTGGGGTGGGCGTAAATGGGCTCTTGGAATAAAACCCTCCTTCACTTTTTTCACACTCATATAATAGATGGATACACTCTAAGCGTCATAGGCAGACTTAGCGTCATAGGTATCTGAACATTATTCATGTAGAACATCGAAAACGACGTCAGAGTGTACGCAGGTAATACCATGTTGAAAGTATGGACCGGTACGTTTGGCTTACTCAAGTTACCTCATGACCACGGAAATATGGTCTACATGTACTTGGCAAAAGGAATAATCCCCGTTCCAAAGTAGGTTGTTTAAATTTATGGTAAACTAGCCTAAAAGCCCGTCTTAAAGACGGCCCAGAACTAAAGTTTTAGAACCCACCAAAACCATTATGTCGAGGCATTACATAACTGGTGTGATGCACTAATCCATACCGAAATTATAACACGAAAGACAAAAATCATCTAAATATGCTTAAACTTCGAAAAGCCTGGCCCATTAAGCTTTCCACGACATTCCTGCGTTATGAATGGTTGCCGGCTTTGTAAGGAATTATTTAACGTTGCCAAAGATTTTATTTAACGTTGGTAAGGAATTTATATCAACGTTGCTAAGGATTTATTTTAACGTTGCTAAGATAATTTTTTAACGTTCCTAAGAAAGTTTTTTAACGTTGCTAAAGAATTTTTTAACGTTGCTAAGAAAATTTTTTAACATTACGAAGGAAATTTTTTAACGTTACGTCATAACAGAAATCATAACAGAAATCATAACAGAAGTCATAACCGAAATCATAACCGTAATCATAACCGAAACGATAACCGAAATCATAACCGAAATCATAACCGAAACGATAACCGAAATCATAACCGAAATGATAACCAAAATGATAACCGAAATCATAACCGAAATCATAACCTAAATCATAACCGGAATCATAACCGAAATCATAACCGAAACGATAACCGAAATCATAACCGAAATCATAACCGAAATGATAACCAAAATCATAACCGAAATCATAACCGAAATCATAACCTAAATCATAACCGGAATCATAACCAAAAGCATAACCGAAATCATAACCGTAATCATAACCGAAATGATAACCAAAATGATAACCGAAATCATAACCGAAATCATAACCTAAATCATAACAGAAATCATAACCGAAATCATAACCTAAATCATAACCGGAATCATAACCGAAATCATAACCTAAATCATAACCGGAATCATAACCGAAACGATAACCGAAATCATAACCGGAATCATAACCGAAACGATAACCAAAATCATAACCGAAATCATAACCGAAATCATAACCTAAATCATAACCGGAATCATAACCAAAATCATAACCGAAATCATAACCGAAATCATAACCGAAATGATAACCAAAATCATAACCGAAATCATAACCGAAATCATAACCTAAATCATAACCGGAATCATAACCAAAAGCATAACCGAAATCATAACCGTAATCATAACCGAAATCATAACCAAAATCATAACCGAAATCATAACCGAAATCATAACCTAAATCATAACCGGAATCATAACCGAAACGATAACCGAAATCATAACCGTAATCATAACCGAAATCATAACAGAAATCATAACCGAAATCATAACCTAAATCATAACCTAAATCATAACCCAAATCATAACCGAAATCATAACCTAAATCATAACCTAAATCATAACCGTAATCATAACCTAAATCATAACCTAAATCATAACCTAAATCATAAGCTAAATCATAACCGAAATCATAACCTAAATCATAACCGTAATCATAACCGAAATCATAACAGAAATCATAACCAAAATCATAACCTAAATCATAACCGAAATCACAACCGTAACCATAACCGAAATCATAACCGAAATCAGAAATCTTATCTGTGCTGTGATTGGTGGAGCCAAGAAGCCGGCAACCAATCAGAATGCAGGAATGTCACGGAAAATTTCACGGGACGGACTTTTCGAAATTATAATATAGATAAATTGCTAAAAGAATTGAATTTGTCATGCCGTCGCGACTAAGACTGCTCTAGCTAGAAGTAATTCGAAGTTGATCGGTAGCAAATTACAGTAATAGGTAGTCTTACTAAAAACTACATAGCTTTTTATTGTATTGGGTTTAGACTTTTCGGGGTTGATCTTTTCGTGATGCGAATACCTTTATAAAAATTTACTCTATTATATATAAATTTGCTCACATTATGTAGAGGCTCTAATAGCAAGTTAAGTACTGTGGATTACTATACAGTGTATGTATGCACTTATATAGTTTATTCCGTTTGTGTAAAACACATGCATGCATGTACAAACATACTTTCACAACGCAAATGTCTTTCGCTTACGTCAGAAAATTATATTTAACTCTGTTTTTTACATTTTCTGCTTCGTAAATGTCGACGGGTTTAATTAATTAGCGGGTTTAATCAGTTCCAAGAAAGTTGTCAATAAATGCTAAAGCATGAACACCTCAGTTATCTTCTGTCACCTCAGTCTAACTTTATGTACATACATAATGCAAATAGAATTTTGATATAAATACAAAACTCATCATCTCAAATCGTCCAGTACATTTTTATTACACATTCGAGTCAAAATAATTTATCAGCTTGATAGCAAAATTGTCCAGAAAATGTCATCTTTCACAACAATCCTACTTTTCTCTTTTGCCATATTTGGCACCCATGCCACCCTGATAATTATTGGATCGTCCTCAAATAGCCCCACCACACCGAGTCCACTCTCCCTTCCGATAATTTACTATGAAAAATTCCTACTCGCCAATTCCCTCCAACTTGGCGAATCCTGTTCCTGGAGTGACGAAACCTTCCGCCAAACTAGTTCCCGTAAGATGCAAAAATCTCCGAAAGAGAGTCCACAGCGCAACGAAATTTTCGACAGCTTTGTTTCGAACACTGTACAAAAAGGGAGGAACTATTGTAGGGCGTTGGAGATGCACGTGTGTGACAAGGATACGGCTCGATGCGTTTGCGGGGAACCGAATGTTCAGGTAAGTAAATCTGAATTTGAAAATATTTTCGGAAATTTTAGCTCATAATACTTATTATCCCAAATAAATTAGGCCATCCTTAGCGACCGGTATAAACCGACGGATTACGTAACCGAATTGGAGGCCGGGACGGGTAAAAATGTGTGTCGGTATTACCGAGGGGCGTCCTGTATTCCAGAACCTGTCAAAACAGAGGGCGACACCTTCGCGTTTAAATGTGCGCAAGGTCTGAGCTGTAATTATGTCAAGGATGGAACCACGTGTACAGACTTGTCAAGAATGAGTTATTTGCTGGAATCTATTCGAAATAACGTGACGGTGGAAGACTACGTCGAAGGGAGTCTGACAGGGAAGCAGTGCACGTGTGAAAATGAGGCGAAGGATGATGATACGAACCCCAATTTGAGTGGGAGATTTAAACGAAGCTTGAGTGGGGATGAGGAAACGTATGCTAAAACAAAATCCGCATTTTTTAGGGAGGAGTGGTGAAATGGTAGTTAATATGTAAATACTTTGGGGCGTCATGCGAGTATGTAATACATTTTTTTCTTTAACAGACTTATCTTAAAATCCTAAGATTTCAAATGTACTTAGGATAAGATAATAATCTAGATTTTTTGTTCCCTCAAATCTTTAAAAATAACCATACAAATTGAATTTTTCAGTTTCCACTAGTTTTACAGATTATTTCTTACTATCGAAAATCTTCCTATTATTATTATACAAAATGTGTCAAATTGTTGTCGGATTGATGCAATTTTTTAAATGAAAATGATGAGACGCATCGATGCTGGAGCTCAAGACGCATTTTTCTGCAGGAGTGACGAATCCGAGTTTTTCCAACTTTACAAATTTTGATCAATTTTGCGTGTGTACAAATTTTGGATAGATTGGCAGAACAGAATTTTGTCTGTACCTATCAGTAAACTTAGATTTACTATAGGATAAGATAAATCCCAGAAAATTCTGTTTCTTCCTATTTCTGTTTCCTGTTTCCCGTTGTTTGTTATATCCTGTTTCTTTCCTCAAATATGTAGAAAAATAAATGGAAATTGATTATTTTTTGTTCGAACTTACTTTCTAGGTTACGACTTTCTTAACAGTCAAAAATGTGTATACCCCGAAAAACCCAGTTTTCTTGGTGCTAAATTATCTACGCGGATACATAAATAGAACACTTGATTGTATACTCGCCTTTATGAAATTATTTCTCCAATTGAGAAAAAAATTATTTTAGATTTTCCCTCAGCATGTACAAATTTGTATGTACACTCTTAGAAATCCGGTTACGATTATAACCGGAAAGTCAACTTACATGTATGTACATATGTCTCCACCGCCGTGGTTATTCACCAGTCGTTGAGCAACTTATCACTGCTTACAAAAACTTATAACCAATCGGCGACTAATTTATCACCATGGCGGGAGAGTCATAAACGTTCACTTTCCGGTTATAATCGTACGTGGATTTCTAAGAGTGTACATATCTACATAATTCAATTATTTCCGAACTGTACCTACACTAACGAAAATTAATACTGTATGGATTCAGTTACTCATTCAGTTACGCATGACGGTTTATTTGCATATCTCATCTATCATGGTTTCGGTGGAGTTTGTTAGCAACTACATTGCACGTTGACGTAATATTTTCACTGTGTAATTAAATATGTATTTACTGCGATGTTTCTCCATTCCTGTCGCAGTAAGATTTAATTAATGAAGACACGTTAGTAATCAATTATCACCTTTGACACGTTAACCTCCTAGTTACCAATTTAATTTGGAGAAATTTCTGTTGGAGACCGACTAATTAAATACCTTCATACCTTTGGCTACCATATTTTTTAAAGAAAATTCCGACACACATTCCGTTGGCTCCCAAATTAATCCAAAGCACTTTTGATTTATTTTTTCGCATAAATGGATGCAAGTTACAACTATTATCACAGAAATTCAAACAAAATTACCAAAAAGTACATCGACATAAACCACGGCACTATTAAAGTTTGACTACTAAACAACACTCCAAGACACATTAATTTTTCACTCTTCGTGCTAATATTTGAACAAATTTAAGATGGACTTAATCCCACATTCTGACTATTCAGATTTTCAATTTTCATTTTGTAAGCTTTGAGAGTTTGCAGCTACAGTGATGTGATGTTTTTTATAACAAGAATTTTCACCATCGACACATAACCAAACACCGCACGCTTCACATCTAATAGACGTTGCCTTTCTCAACTTATTCATATTTTTCCAGCAGAGGTGACAGTTTCCACGAACTTTCTTTCCTGCATTGTTCCGAACTGTCGATGGTAAATGCTGAAGAGAATTGAAACTTGGTTGATGCGGTATAGTTACTGGACGTCCCTTCGTACTTCTTATCGTAACATTGGCACTCATGATCTCTTTGATTAAATTGGACAAGTACTGTTTATATCCTGTGCTTCTTAGAGGATTCATGTGGCAATATACGACCCAGGAGTTATATACACAGATATCGAAAAGATGGAAACCGAACTTGCGATACCATTTGAGGGTTTTTCTGAGGGCTTGATAAGGTCGTATGATCTTGTCCATGTCATCCAAGGCTCCCATGCTCTTGTTGTAAACAAGTACTGATGCTGGCTTGACCTGAGCATTACGGGGATTTTGAGAAACGCAATCTTCCATGCGATGATCAATAAATGTGTTTAAAATCAACACCTCCCGGCGATCCATCCACCTTGAAAGTTATAAATATTTAGCCTTATGTCCTATGCGGAAATATATGTTAATTAAACTACCTCTCTAATAGCAAATCCCCGTCTGAAAATGTCTCGACTTCTCCCTTCTTGAGACGAGTTGGACGGGATGTGACATGGTCAATAAATTTTGGCATGAATTTTCGGTCTTTCCTTACTGTACCAAGGACAAAGGTCTTTTTTTCTACTAACGTTTTAGCCAAAACTGGAGACTGAAAATAATTGTCCACGACTAGGCGATGGTATTTTCCTAAATATCCTTTCTCCAGTATGGTAAGTACAGCAGCGCCTCCAAAACCATACATTTTTATCCAATTAGGGTTTGAAAGTTTGGTAGATTTTCCTTGGTATGGTAAAATATCGAGCACAAATCGGTGTTCACAGTCCATTAGGAAGAAGGACTTGACCCCAAACCTCCCTCTTTTCTTGGGATTGTACTGCTTAAAGCTGAGAGCTCCTTTGTATGGCATCAACTCTTCATCTAACGTCAAGAATTCTCCAGGATTTACAAGCTTTCTAAAATTCTTCAGAATATTGGGTAGAATTATTCCCATTTTATGAAAGCGATCATTTGTGTCAAGCGCTGGATCTTCTAAATCCACAAATTGCAGCCCCCTGAGTATCTGTTCTAATCTGGAGAAGTTATCATGGACCATTTATTATATATATTATTCATCACGGCATTATTTGATTTGATTTTTCGAAAAAATTCACCTATTCCGACTCATTGCTTCAGTGAAGAAGGGAGTGGCTGTGAGTGGATCTCGAGTTAAATAATCCTTCAAACTAGGTTTCTGCACAACACCAGTCAACAAATTCAGGCCAAAAAACCTCCAGAATTCGGGGACGCCAACGTTCTTCCAATTTGGTATCGCCTTCTGATCAGCATATAAATTGGTTTGGGTGATAATTTCGTCAACAATATCAGGAGTAACAATCTTCTGAAGTATGAACAAGGGAGTGGAGGCTGGTGAGATATCCTCATCACTAACAAATGTCACTGGATCCAGAAAGTCTGGTGTTTCCGGGAAGAAGTACTCTGAATCTCCCTCCCACTCGATTCCATCCTTAAAAAATGAATAATTTCAAAGTGGCCAAAATTTGTAATGCAATTTGCGAAGTAATCTTACTATTCGGGAAGCAACAGGTTCTTCATCATCAGAAGTAATCTCTTCAAACTGCAAGTACTCCTCGGGGTCATTACCTTCTTCCATCTCATCATTGCGCATCCACTCTGGTTCCCAATTATCTGCAACGTCGATCGCCTCCACCGTTCCTTGATTCGAAAGAAGTATTCCAGACATATTTGACGACGAAATTCGACAAGGATTCACGTTGAATTACAGTCACAGATGCAAATAATTACAATATTTTCGAAAAAAACAGAAAATTTCCAGCCGAAGTCGCAGAATATTTCATTGCACGTATTTGTGTAATTGGTAGCCAACGGAATATGGAGATTTGTAACTAACAATGGAACCTTTTTTCAAGCTACACGAGATAAGCTTAGTGACATATGCTAAAAAATCAAGCTAAAAATTAGAAATGATGTGGTACTTATCTTTCCGTTGAATGGGCACTTGGAGGTCAAATATTTGAGGGCAAAGTTCACAGTAGCGGCCTGTTTTTTTCTCAAGCGGGCGAGCGGAGGAGTGAAAAATTTCTCCTTCGAGGTAACTCTGCTGCCTTCACTCTCGCTCTAGTTTCGTTACTAGTATGCAATCAATATGCATTTCCAAAAATATACAACGAAATGTGGCAATAAAACTCAGTCAATTTTAAGGATTATAATTTCTAATTAATAAATATATTTGCAACTAATACAATTTTGCATTTTTTGACAGAAATGTAATTAAACTTTTAGGTAAGGGCTATTAGCACAGTACATCAAATGGTAATCGTGGTAAAAGCAATCAAAACATAAAGTTTGATCACACCAACTACATTTTATGAAAGCCAGTTTTCCACAACTATCCGTACAACATATCATATGACTCATTTCGAAGCATATCTGTTTTACATTTGTATAGTCTGATTTCTCTCCTACTAACAACCCACTGGTAAACCAGCAGTATCGAATCATTTCTTTGAATTTTGGTGAAGACAAAATGAAATGAGCTAAGGAATGAACTTTTAAAGCGCCATTGCGCGAAACTAGGGTTGCATGTAATTTATCATCCCCATGTAAAACTGCATAATCGTAGAACTGTCTAACTAAAAATTTGAACTGTCTATGAAAATAAGTATCTAAAGGTTGGACTAGGTCGGTGCAATTTTCGGGAATTAATGATACACGCATATTACAACTTTCATTCGAAAAACGGGATGTATATAAATTGTCGTCCATCTGTCCACCCCAATGATCAATCAAGTACAGAATATTTCCAGATGCTTTTGGTGCGACTACCGAATCCAAAAATTCTCCAACTAACGCTCTGGTCAGCTTGCCAGACTTACTACAAACTATAGTGAGATTGGGTGCCATAAGCATTGAATTTTCTACAGTTGGTCCAAATTTTCCGTTATTTTCCTTTAATAAGAAGTAAATTTAAACATAGCTAAAATATTTGAATTTTGAGGGGATTAAATAAAATATATTAACCTGTAAACAGATTAAAGCATCTCCTACAATTTCGCCAGCAAGTGAAATAATGTATTGTACCGTGTAGGAATGGGTGGCCTTGTTCTTTGGAGAGTGAGAAGCGCCCAACGTCATTTTCTCGCCTTTATGAGAAAGTGACCGGGTTGACAGAATTTCGTATTTAAACCCGGTTTGATCGGTATTCCATACTTTTTTAGGATCGTATTCCTCTATTATGCGAAGCATTTCAGCTCGATAATTCTCTGCATTTGCTAGTATTTCTTCTCTGTCACGAATTGATCTGAAGCTAACGAATTTTTGAACCTTTCTTGAGGATATACCGTTTCGTTTTTTCAGGCAGAGTAGCCAGCTTTCAGAAGCTATAAAATTAAGCCCAGGGAACTCGATCGCTTTGTTCATGGCCCACCTTTTGAAGTCAAAATCATGAACGGACAAAAATTGCGTTCTGGCTTCATTAAATTGCTCCACGACATGTTTTCAATTTTGTCGTACAAATCATATTTTGTTCCCCCTATAAGTATTTCAGCTACATTAGAAATTTGTTAAGATGTTTAAAACACTATCAACAGTACCCATTTCAACTTGAGCTTTCCATTGGTTGACATAACTCCTATGTTTCAGATAAGGATGGCGTTTTTGGATCGTTGTGAACTTCCATTTTTTATTGTTAGAAATATCATGGAGCGCACTTCGTTTTGAAGTAAGGGACAGCTCTTCTCTTTGCTCAATTATTTCCCCGTTTTCGTCATCAATAAAATTTATATCATGAACTATACCACTTAATAAAAATAAGAGATAATTCGTAATAATTAACATACATATAAGGGCTAATAGCTATTCATTTACCACTGATGTTTTCATTTTCTTCAATGAGTATGTAATTGTAGGTTATCTCGTGCAGCTTTTCTAGTAAAACCTCAGCAATTAAGAAATGTTCTTCATCTGGGTCCAATTCATCATCCTCGAAACTGGATTGTATGATTTGGGTGAATGCTTTAGCGACGCACTTATAATTTATTGAACCCATCGTCGCTTTTTTATTACGGGTCGGTGGGTAGTAGGATGGATTTAAAAAGTAAATATAAAATTATATGAATGTAATGAATATATGCACCAATTTACTAGAGTGTCAAATTTTATCAAAAATAATACGCATTGAATGAAAGTGCGAGAGTGAAGGCAGCAGAGTTACCTCGAAGGAGAAATTTTTCACTCCTCCGCTCGCCCGCTTGAGAAAAAAACAGGCCGCTACTGTGAACTTTGCCCTCAAATATTTGACCTCCAAGTGCCCATTCAACGGAAAGATAAGTACCACATCATTTCTAATTTTTAGCTTGATTTTTTAGCATATGTCACTAAGCTTATCTCGTGTAGCTTGAAAAAAGGTTCCATTGTAAGTTACACAAATGTGTGTAATTGGTAGCCAACGGTAATAAAAATTGTTACACAAATGTGTGTAATTGGTAGCCAAGAGGTTAAGAATTAATTTTCTGCCTACCTGTTTATACGAATCTGTCTATTTATATATTTATTTGCATAACTGGACACCTAGAAATAGCTTATGCATATATGCATCTGTGTACATACATAAGTAAATACGTATTTCCATATGGACTTAAATAAGGTATATGTATGCCTGTTACATACATACATGCGTATGTACGTCAGAAAAATACAAACAACATCTTTTGGTAGTTTCTGTATCGTAAAACTAATATATGACGTCCAATATAATTAATGTGTTCAAACGGTTCCAAGTAAGGTGGCAAAAATACTAAAACATTGACAATTATTTTTATCACTTCAATCTAAATTTACATGGTGGCGTAATGCACTTGGATTTTTGATATAAATACAAACTCATTTTCTCACCTTGTTCAGTACATATTTTATGCACATACATTCGAGTCAAGATAAATTACAATCTCTACAATAACTTCGTCTAAAATATGCCATCTTCCATATCAATCCTACTTTTTGCTGGTACAATATTTAGCACCCGTGCTACAATTGAACCATCTTCAAATAACCCCCTCGCACAGGGCATAACCCTTCCAATTACGTACTATATGCAATTCAAACTCGCCAATTCCCTCCAACTCGGAGAATCATGTTCTTGGAGGGACGAAACCATCCGTCAAGCTCATTAGTAACACTTTAATAATTCTCCAAACCACGAAGTACCGTACATACACCCCATATATCATCAGCCCTCCTACGGACGATTGCCAAGCGAGGATTTTTTACAGATCGAATGAAACCCTGGTGTGTGACAAGAATACGGCTCGATGCGTCTGCGGGGAGGACCATGTCCAAGTAAATACATACATAAATTTCAATTCATGTGACGAGCGGGAAATATGTATTTTCAGGAATTTTCTCTTCATTTACATAGGCAAACCTTGGAACCCTGTATAACTCAAGGAAATATGTTACCGAATGGGACGCCTGGAGGGAAAGAAACGTGTGTCGGTATGGTCGAGGTGCGCCTTGTGTTCCTTCATCATTTGGAGGGATTAGTGGTTCCCCCGCCTATCAATGTGCGAAAGGTCTAAGTTGTACCTAGGATGGAACTACGTGTACAAATTTGTCAACCCTGGAATATGCGATGGAGTCGAAACGCAATAACGAGACGGGTCAAGAGTACTCCGTCGGGGTTATGACGGGAAAGATGTGCACGTGTGAGACTGAAATGGAGTATAAGGATATGACCACCAGTTCAAATACGGGAGTAAAATGAAGCTGGAATTCAGATGAGGAAACGTTTGTCGAGCATGAGCTGCATTTTTCGAAAAATTTGTAATAATTTTTGGGGGTCATTCACGGGCGTAATATCTACGTTGTATCTTTCAAAGGACAATATGAAACCTTAATTTTTTTCTTCTCTCCTTTTATAAAATCAAAATTTTTCCAGATCTCTAAAAAAATCAGCAGGGAAATTGAATTTTTTTCACAATTTTTCAAATTATTAATTATTGTCACGTATTTCATTTTGGTTATCGTTAAAGATTCTCCTTAGTCATATAAATATTTATTGATACATTTACATAACAATGAATGTCATGTTTCAGTTCCTAACTTAATTAGTTATTATATTTGCAAAGAAGCAAACTTAATTAGTTTTCGCTAAATATAGTTACTTGTGTATATAGAAATGTACAAACATATGTATCCCTACTAGCACATTGCCAGTGCCGATTTTGTGCCGGTATGCCCTATTTCTCGGTACCGATTGTATAACGATTTCTTGCTGGTACAGGGAAATCGCTACCTTACCAGCACAGTTTAGGAACAAATTTTGGGTACCGGGACTGTACCTGCAAAGCTGTACAACAATGGTATCGGTACTATATGTACGGTTCCACCTTACCAAAATTGTGCCGGTAAGGTGCCGATTTCCCTGTACCAGCACGAAATCGGTATGCAATTGGTACCGAGAAATGGGGCACATCGGCACAAAATCGGCACTGGCAACATGTACCGGAACCGCACAGGTGCTGGTAGGGATGTGGTGTAAAGCAATGCATGCCGGACGACGAACGTGCATATGTACCTAAATATGTACTTAAATAAATATGTGGTTAATAGTAAACTAGCACATTATTATGGAGAATTGGACTGGACATACATATGTATAAGTAAAGTACTCCTGTCTTACTGACTATACAATCCCAGTTCCATTTAAAAACATATCTACATACATGTAAATGGAACTGGGTGCGACTATCACTGGAAATCTTTTTACCACGAGTTTGTATGCATATGCACTTCCCTAGTCGCCAAGATTGAACGGCCCGACAGTGGTATTCGAGTGGCCAATAATGTCGGCCGAAGGTACCATCTTGTCCTCGTGTTTTAAGTCGGGCCGTGGGTGGCCAAAATTATCGGGCCGAAGGTTGGAAATGTTTTTCCCGACCTCGTGCCATCAGCCGCCCACCATCCTACCGATCCAATGCCATGGTTGGCCCCAACCATTCCCCAACGAATTTTAATAATCTCACACTGTTTATTTCTGATTTAGTTCATTTATTTGATATCATGTAGTAATGGAAAACAGACAAAGTTCTCTTTAAAGGGTAACAAAATACATCTATGTGCAATTTGTAAACAATTCAGCTCACAAGTTTTTTTCATTTCATTTCCTAAAATAAAAATTCCTAACTTACAACTACTTATAGGTTTTTCGTATAGTGATTTTTTGTTACTAAATGTTTCGTAATGAACTATTTTAACATTTTTAAATCTATTGTACGTAATTCTTCGAACTATAATAATTTGACCAGAATTCAGAGAATAACAGCTATTTACAATTATTTTGTTTGCTTGAAAATTTTCGCGTTTCTCGTCTAATTCTCTCTTAATAACGTTACACTTTTCGTTTTCTACGATTCTTTTTGCAACCTGTTGGAGATAAAATGTTTTTGTTCTTGTCATTTTCTTCAGTTGCTGCATGAAATTTTCAAAACCAAACGCACTAATATTATCTAATTGTCCGAAGTTTAGAGCGTCCTCATGAATATGTGATAAACCATGGACATTATAAACCATAAAATTACTGTCATATACGACTCTGCATTGTAAAATAAATTTTGTCAACAACCGCCTGGCTAAAGCGTTCCACTCGGGGTCATCAGCATTGGCCGATAAAAGAATAAACAGCACAATGAAAATAAAGGAAATGAATGTAATACTTCTCCGGTAAGACATTTTTCAGTGCTACTGGACCTGTGTACAGCATTATCGTTCTAAATTCCGTGGCCTTAAAATTATCAATCTCATTCAAACTTCTTGGTCGCTGAAAATCACGAGGCATAAACGTTTTGAAATTTATAAATCTGTCTGAAATTTCATTAATAATTTTACTCTGCATTCTATGAGGCAATTTCCCTTTTGCCCACTGTCGCAAAAGTTTTCTCATGACCCCTAAGCAACACATGTGCATATAGTCATATGGAATCTGCGAGACCAAGCCAATTTGCAATTTTGATAAAGTAGAAAATTTATGATGATTCTCGTCTAATTGTGAACGAAACGATTCATCTGTACGCGAAGCTGAATTTAATTCAGTGTACACTACACTTTTTCCAAATTCGCCGTGTTGAACACATTTCTCACACCCTGAATAACTATTATGATTCTTAATTCCCTTAATGAAACTTCTAGCTGGAGCATCAGCAATAATACAGGAAATTCTGAAATGAAATTTCTTCCCTAAATGATTAAATCCATCCTTCTCTAGTGTAATTGTCTCAGCAATAAAATCATTTAGAAAATCTAAATTAGTAGGTTTTTGAACTCCGTAAAATAGCCCTATTACAAAAATTGAATTAATTTTAAGTTGATCAATTTTACCAAGAAGCGGCCAAAATTGGGATCTTGTACTCCTACTTAATGGAATACCATCCACACCTACAGATATTGTTACAAGATTTTCGCCAAAATCGTGATAAAATTTGCTAAAAATTGTTGATTTTGGCTGAACGAGGTGAGCGATATTTGAAATTGATCTCTTTAAATTTTTTTCTATTCCGAAATATACAAATTCTCCACCAGAAATAAAATCAGTTTCAACTACTCGGGGAGTTTCTAATAATGTTCGAGGATCTAGTGGAACTGTTAATTTGAGACTACTAGATAATAATGATAATAATTCTTTTAAAGCAACATGTGTAATATTATGGGACAAAGCCCATCCTCGAAGTTTTTGAGGAAATGGTGTTTGCTCTTCATTGAACGATTCGTTTTCACTGAAACTTGTAAAGCTATAACTATTATTCTCTGAATTTGACGAATATTCTACACTATCATGCAAACTACTAATTATTACTTGAGATTCTGAAACTGATTCACCATCCACACTTGATACTGGCGCTAGAATAGTAGAGGAGGAAGCTATATTTATATTATGAAGAAGGGTTGCCACTTCCGCCTTCCTTCTTCTTGCCTTTGTTCTGTTTGAGGTTAGCATTCTGTCGTCGTTTTTCTCGTCCGCCCTCTCTGTCTTCAGCACCCTTTAGCCACGATGCAACATAACTTCCAATTTCCTGGTCCGTAGATAAACTATAACCGTTTGTGGCACGCACGGAATCTAGATTAATCAATTCATTGAAATTCCAACTTCATTAAATTACAACTTTGGATCTGTACTGTCACTCAAGATCTTACCTCTTATAATTTGATAAATTGGCTCGTTGTTTAAAGCAATTTCAATATCCTTCCCTGCTCCAGTGACAGTAATGATTTTTGCGAGACTATTTGCAAAAAGTTTTTTCAGTATTCTGCTAACCAGGAGAGAGAGCCTTTTTGCGCCAATGAGTGCCAATTCCGTGACCTAAATAGAAGATTATTATTACACTAAACTTATTTAACTAATTTTATACCCTTACCAAACAGTCACGATTTTCCTGCACCTGAATCCACACGTTTAATGACTTAAACTCAGCAACAGTCACCACAGGAATTTTGTGCAATTTTATTTTAGTTGGGGGAGATATGTTAATCCCACCTGACCTTCTCAACAGTTCCGTGACAAGTTGTTCCAATTTAGCCAAACGATCAATAACGATTTTCTCAAATTCTACGAATAAATTTTAGATACATAAAGCAATGACTTTATGTATATCTGTACAAATATATATAAAATAGCTACCCGTGTCATTTTTGCCAACTAAATCCCCACTAAAGCCTGGAAGACTGTTAACACTTGGAGGGATATCACTTAAATCAAGGTTGGAATTTAATGCCACCGTTCCGTGATCAACCAATATCAACTTAGGACTTGATATAATTGGGCAACTATTCGGACCAACTAAAATCTAAAATAAGGAGGAAATCATATATAATTTTACATAATTGTGAACAGAACAGTCAATTTAAAAACACTTTAAATAAAAGAATGTTTAAATACCGTTGGACACACTCGGCGAGTGAATTTGATCGTGGTCAGAATCACTTGAATAATTCGGTTCGACTGGTTTTGACGTAGTAATTGAGGTAAATGACGTGCTTGGAATTTCGATGTCGCTATCAATTGGGTCCTTACTCGGCGACGACCCAGAAGATTCAGAGTTTACTTTTTTCTTTTGTTTATTTCGTCTTCGTCGCCTAGGACGACGACTTTCATCCTCATCCACGGTAGTTTCAAATGTCGACTGATTTGATTTCTCGGCTAAACGCAATACAACAAGTGCATCATCAAAAGTATCTGGAAATAAAAAAGATAAGAATTTTGCGTATTAGGAAATAAAATGATAAAATTATTATCTCATCTAAAATTATTATCGCTTTATTAACTCACCTTTAATTTTCAAAATTTTACAATTATGTCGTGCCCAACTCTCTTCTGGTGCCTTGTGTTTTTTCACCATAGAAGTGACGTTGGGTGATGATGGCCAGAGGACTGTGGATAAGTCTATGAGCCAACTTGTTGACACTATCGACACAGAGTTATCATCTTCTTTAAATTCGACGATGGCGAATTTATTTTTTGGAGGAAAAGTGATTTTAGCCATGCTGGCAGATTCTCGTGCTGGAAATGGACTTGAAAGTACGATTGGCGCTGTAGTGGATAGATGGCGCACTATGGTATTTTTGGCCACGGATGGTACGACCTCGTGCCGACAGTTTTTGTCAGATGCAATTTAAATATACTTTTGCCAACCTTGTCCCACCCTCGGTAGGAAGGAAGTAAATGTAAAAATTTCTACATGCACTTTTTGCTTAAAACTTGTCTGCAAAAATCGGGAGGGGAATGGTTGGCACAGTCGGCCAACCATCGCCCAACTATGCCACCCTTTAATATCCTTCGGCCCGATAATCTTGGCTACTTGGGTTATGTATAGTCAATAAAACACAAGACGCACGACAGCTAATTCTCAAGTGTGGTTTTGTCCGCCTCGCATTAAATAGATTTTCCATTTTCACCCGTAGCATTTGTACTCTGCAATTAAATAATTAGCACGTTTTTCATTATATGTATGTACAAGTGCCAGTAGGGTTTAATTGGAACCCACACCGATCCATGATTCTTCTTTTTGATACATAAATACATAGAAAAAGAAATATATATGTAACCTGTGTATTTATAACTTATTGCAAGCATTCATTTGCACGTGCAAATTTATTACGTGCATGCATACTTGTATAACCCGAATGCTTGTGACTTACGTTAGAAAATTAAATCCAGCACTTTTTCGCAGTTTCTGTTTCGTAAAACCTTGACGATTTTATTTAATTATCGGCTTTAATAGGTTCCAAGTAAATTGGCAAAAATATTAAATCAGTAATAATCACCTCCGCCTAACTAAATAAATTTGCATAATGCCAATAAATTTTTGATATAAATACAAACTCAATTTCTCAGATCGTCTAGTACATACATATTCCAGTCTAAACAAATTACTATCTTTATTAATAGGATTTACAAATGCCGTCCTCCATTCCCATCCTACTTTTTGTTGGGGCCCTATTTGGTGCTACCCTGGCGATAATTCAATCGTCATCAAATAACCCCCTTCCCCAACCCAGTCCCACGCTTCCGTTAATTTACTACCAAAAATTCATACTCGCAAATTCCCTCCAACTTGGCGAATCGTGTTCCTGGAGTGACGAAACCCTCCGCCAAACTAGTTCCCTTAAGATGCAAAAATTTCCTAAAGGGAGTTCACAGCGCAACGACATTTTAAATAGCTTGGTTTCGAACACTGTACAAAAAGGGAGGACTTATTGCAGAGCGTTGGAGATGCAGGTGTGCGACAAGGATACGGCTCGATGCGTTTGCGGGGAGCATGGTGTTCAAGTAAATAAATTTGAATTATAAAAATATGTATTCTCGTCCAATTTTGGGTTCATTAAGGGTGCATCAAACCGCCATAGTTTTTTATCTCTATCTGCTCTTATTCAGTGTCTATGAATTCAAATTCTAAAATGGCATCTGCTTCACGAATTTAGAATGAAATGCACTGTATTTAATGTAAAGTTAATTTTTGACACTACAAGAGAGACCTGAAAAAATGGCGAATTTATTTTTCCACAGAAAATTTCTCTTAAATTAACTCGCTAATTTTTTTCAAATCTATTTTATACTGCTGAAAATTAACTTTGCATTAAAGTAACAAAAGTTAAATTTCTCTCAAAACTCGTAAATCTGATGTCACCGCAGAATCAGAATTTATAGACACTACTGACTTGAACATGGGCAGATTGAGCGTTATTAAACATTATGTATTAAACACGCCCGCGCATTATGCTACCAAATTACGCATTTTGTTACCAAATTAGGCCAACCTTGGAAATCGGTATGAACCAACGGATTACGTAACCGAATTGGATGCCGGGTCGGGAAAAAAAGTGTGTCGCTTTTCTCGAGGGGCGTCCTGTATTCCGAAACCTGCCAAGGCAGAGGGCGACACCTTCGACTTTAAATGCGCGCAAGGCCTGAGCTGCAATTATGTCAAGGATGGAACCACCTGTACGGATTTGTCAAGCTTCAAATATGCGCTGGATTCGATCCGAAGAAACGAAACGGATGAAGAGTACTATGAAGGGACTCTGACGGGGAAGATGTGCAAGTGTGAAAATGAAATTGCTGGTCGCCGTTCGAATGGGAGATTTAAAAGAAGCTTGAATGTACATGAGGAAACGTATGCTCGAGCAAAATCTGTATTTTTTCGGGAGCAATGGTGAAATAGTAATGATATGTACGTGTATCATAGGGGCACTTAACACATTTTTTTCTTTGCCAGACTTATGTACCTTTCAACCTTTAAGATGCCATATTACTCAGGATAAGATAATAATCTCGATCGTTTTGCTTCTTCAAATCTTTAAAAATAATAACGGTGGAAATTGAATTTTACAATTTCCGCTCGTTTTTCAGATTATGAAATGTTTACTACATGCTTAATCCAAAATTTTGTTATTACGAGAAAAAAATTTGCTTCTTGTACTTATGTATATACATATGTATAACCATGAAACAATGTGTCAAATTGAGTTCGCATGGATACAATTTTTTCCCTGATTATGACAATACAGATATTGTAACCGGGTCTGTGCATATAAGGAATCAATACATATGTATATCCTGTACGAATTCAGTTAGTTGTGTGTATTTATTTAAACATGTGTACATAAAAACTATTGGTGACGCACCGACCAGAATTCTTACTCGTGATGTGTTATGTGCCATAACCCTCATACATATTTCCATATCATGGGCTTCAGGTTGTGTTAACGTAACATTCTCCCTGTGTAATTAACTATATATTTAGCTTGTTTCTTCTCCATTCCGGTGGCAGCAAGTTTTAAATAATTAGACAACTTGTCAATTTATTTATTCAAATTCTATGTATATATGTACAGAGTGGTTAAAATGTCACGCTACAATGGGAAATTTTTCAATGGGAAAAGTCCCTAAATCTCCATTAGTTACAAAATGTGGGATTGAGATTTTTATAAAGGATTATTAAAACTGATGACAAAATTCTTCAAATGTTGCATTTTGGAGACAAAATTTCGGTAACTGATGGAAATTTATGGATTTTTGCCATCGAAAAATTTTCCATTTTTTAACCACCCTGTATGTATGCATCTATGGATATACCTATTTATATGTCTTCATATGTACACACGTAGATGGACACCAAGAAATACTCACATAACTTGCGTATGTAATGTAAGCATGTGAACATGCATGCATGTACATACTTATTTACGTAGATTTGAATAAATAAATTGACAAGGTGTCTAATTAAAACTTGCTGCCACAGGAATGGAGCAAAAAAACAAGCTAAATGCTACCTGTATTTACTTATAAGGCTTGTTAAGCACGTCACAAAAATTCAAACAACATCTTACTTGCAGTTTCAATTTCGTAAACCTTTGACGTCTTACTCACTTAATTAGCGGGCTTAAACGATTCCACGTAATTTGGAAAAAATGCTATAAAAACCAGCAATTGTTTTTATCACCTCTGTCTCAATTTACTTGCTGAAATAATTCAAATAGATTTTGAATATATATAAATACAAACTCACTTTGACCAGTACGTACAACTTATTTTGTGCATGCACATTCAAGTTAGAATAAATAACTCTCTTTAGAGCATAATTGTCTACAAGATGCGATTCTCCATATCAATCCTCTTTTTTGCATGTCCCATATTTAGTGCTACTGCGGGGGAGATTGAATCATCTTCAAATAAGCCCCTCGCCCCTTTCAATTACTTCCTATCAAAAATTCATCCATGCCAATTCCCTCCAACTTGGCGAATCGTGTTCCTGGAGTGACTAAACCTTCCGTCAAACCGGTGTCCGCAAGATGTTAAAGTTTCCTAAAAACAGCCCACAATACAACCAAATTTTCGACAGCATAGTTTCGGACAGTGTAAAAAAAGGGAGGACATTTTGCAGAGAGTCGGACGCCTTGGTGTGTGACAAGACTACGGCTCGATGCGTTTGCGGGGATTACAATGCTCAAGTTTAAAAAAAAATAATTTAATAAGAAAAAAATGGAAAATGTTTTCGGAAATTTTCACATTGTTTGGAATTAGGCCATCTTTGGCGACCAGTATAAACCAACTGATTACGTGACCGAACTGGATGCCGGGACGGGAAAAATAGTGTGTCGGTATAATCGAGGGGCGCCCTGTAAGCCTGCACCAGCCAAAGATGTGGATGAGGACTCTTTCATCTATCAATGTGCGAGAGGTCTGAGGTGTCGTTACGTCAAGGATGGGACCACGTGTACAACTTTGTCAATCTTGGAATATTCGATGGATTCGGACCGAAGAAATGTAACGGATGAAGAGTATGTGAAAGGGGTTCTGTCTGGGAAGAGGTGCACGTGCGAAGACGAAGTGGCGGGTGACGATAAGAAGACCAATTTGGGTGGGAGATTTAAAAGAAGCTTGACTGAGCATGGGGAAACGTATGCTTGAGTAAAATATTCATTTCTTTCAGGGATGGAAGTCTATTTTTTTGTTTTGTTTTATTGGCATAATACAATTTTATGTTTAACAAGATTTCAAAACCTCGATTTTTTCTTCCCTAAAATTTCTAAATGTAAAAATATGTAAATCACATGTGTCATTTCTCACGTTTTGGATTTCTTGCTCGTCTAAAACTTTCTTATGACGATGTGTAAGTATGGATAGAATTTTTGCTCCAATTGGGACAAAATTGTCGCCAAGCATATACTTATGAACATTTAGAAATATGTATAATTAGATTATTTTAAGATTTCTGCAAGTTTAGAAATTAATAACTGTACGTATATATCAGTACCGTACCAACCGTGGTATATTGTGGTACCAAATACCAGGCCCGGGGCCCGTCAGGGCCCGGGCCAGGTCGCTAGCTTTACACTAGATATAATGGACTTTTTTGTGTATTGACGATTAAAAAAAATATTCCACGCAAATAAATTTTCTTACATCTAACATTAAACTGCTAGATCTTATTTGTTTTCCATGTTCAATTTTTGTATGAATTTCATTCGCTTACACTTTTTTATGAATCTAGAGCAAATATACTGTGCAATTTGTAATTTTAATAGTTTGTCTTTCGAATTTTAATTAATATACAAAATCATGATTTTAGCTGAAACTTCCACACTTCCACTTCTTTTAAAAATTCAGCTAAAAGGGAAGTTAGGCATATTGAAGAAAACCTAAAAGTGTGGGCCGACTTATTTCTGTGCCTAAGCAATTTAAAATTTGTAGGGTAAAAGTTGGAGAGGATCACTTCATGCCTACGCATTTTTAGTTATAATTCCTACATATTAATGTGAATTACCTTACACCAAAATTTCTCAACAGTTATAATT